GTCATATAGTCAAGTTCACTTTCAGCTGTCATCAGTCTAACATTCATGATATAACCGTTCAGTAGTAATAGGTGTAATGCTTTGTTTATGCGACTATCTGATGTTTGACGGTCACTTTAGGACTTGTCTGGGTCCCGTACACGTGGGCCGGCCTTCGGGCCACGCTCAAGCCCCATTTCTCCTACTGCTTTCGGAATACATGTATTCAACCCCACTTACGCCTTCTACTACCCCATTGGAAGCCTCGGGACGCTACAATAGGCATCGATCACTAACTAAATACTAATATTTCAACATAAATGGAAAGACAGGAGATAGGACCTGGCCAGAAGGCCAGCTCAAACAGCAAAACGCCAAGGAAACCTATTTCCTACAATTATTAAAATAAGCACTGCGACACGAAACATCACCTCCCTATTGTAAAAGAGAAAGAGTATGGCATGAAAATCTGCAAATCTAAAGAACTCACGACATGATGTTATTACTATTAGCTATTACTGCTAATATTAAAATGCGGAATTTCTCCATATATCAGAAGCTATTTGCGACTATTATTGCGTTGGATATTCATAGTTAGCCTGCATATTATTAATGTTTATTAGGCAAGAGATATTTAATAATTTTGTTTAACCAAATCGAAAGCATGAACTTTAGCGTTCCTTATTATTCGAAGGTCCCCTCTGTTTTGAGGTCAAAACATAGTAAAATGAAATCTTTTCCCATACGGGGCATTCTTTGTGTAATTGGTGGTTTCCTCTACCACCTTGCACTCGGATATTTTTATACCGCTGGTAGCTGTCCGTTATTCGGTCATGCCTTTCAGGCAATATGAATCCATATGTGGCCCAATTCATGAATATTGAGAATAGTAAAACTTCTTGGTTTTCATCGACAATCTTGGCTCTTCAGGCTGTTTTCATGCCCACAGGAGCTCATATTGCTACAAAAATAAATTACAGATGGGTGCTCTTGGCCGCTCTTATATTCAGTTCGTAAGCGTCTGGTTTCATTGCATCGAAACGGTCTACACTCTGAATTGTTCAGATTTCTGTTTAATGAACTAAAAATTTTTTATTACCAGGGTTAATAATTGCCCTTTTATGGACAATTTTGTTTTTTGGACGCCTTAAAAGTCTTTTGTAGGGAACTACTTTTTAATCTCCATCTTTTTATTTAGTGGTGGGATCCTCCTGACTCGAGTAACTGTTTACAGTGGCTTGGGTCTGTATATTTTGACCTATTGCATATGCTTCGGAATTGGCATGGGTTTGCCGTATTCTGTTATATTTTCGATCGCTTCTTCAGTAAGTTTTTTCGAATAATAGGTTAATGGCTTTATCAATTACGTCTCATTAGTGCAACATTTTGCTTTTAGTGGTTTCCTCAAAAACGTTCCACTGTTGTTGGAATTATTTCCTCCGGGTTTGGTCTTGGTGCTCTGGTCTTTATCCCTATCCAAACTCAAATAATTAATCCGAACAATCTTCCCAAAGTTGACGAGTAAGTTTCGCTATCAAAGGATATTGATTTCTTCTTATTCAACAAAATTCTCTTTAGTGTCTTGTTGCATTCATTATGATTTTTGCAGTCACAAAGCCTTGAAATGATCAAAATTTGCAATATTTGCACTATTCTAAGTAAATAAAAGTAACTTTTGTCTAATCTTCAGCAAATTTCCTCCTGAGGTTATAAACAAAGTTCCAGAAGCCTTTTTAATACTTGGTGGCATTGTTCTTGGACTTGAAGTAATTGCAACGATTCTCCTTCAACGAAGACCTGAGGTAATTTAAGTACTACCAAGTGTTGTATCTACGATTGACAAGACTTGTTCTGAGGTTCCACAAAATATAATTTCTTATTTGCTTAATATTTTTCGTAACGTTTGCACTTTTCCGTTTCGTAATTTTTCCTTGTGTTTTATTAATTTAGGAAAATCCAGCCGTCTTGTCGACTGAATCGTAAGCCATGTTTTACATTCTAGTGATTGCTAGAGCCAGCTTTATGGTGAATAAGGGGTATTAATGGGTCAAAATGCCAAACTAGGTTGTCGTCTTCGCTTTTATAAGGCGCCTGAGTGCTATTTATTTGGTTGTATTATATGCAATTCTGAATTTTCCATCACCTAAAGTTTACACTTACATTTCTCTTCATTCAGCGTTACTTTTGGTGTGCTTAAGAGCACATCGAAATGTTTTCTAGTTATTTCGTATTCTGGACATTTTATGCAGATTTTTCAAATGGCATGTCGGTAATAAAATTTGTGTTGCGATTTTAAGAATGCATAATGCAGTCGAATGTTGAGTAAATAAGGAAAATCGCATTTGTTTTCAATTGGTTTTCTCAGGTCCAACGATGAACAACCCTCCAGTCCAGTCAGTGAGGATATTAAGGTGGACTTGAAACCGTAAGGAGGATAAATAAATGCCACCAAACTTTTACTTTTGTGATTAATGCGAGTCTTCTTTAGCGAGTCGCTGAAAGGACCAAAAAGCTTCACGGTTCGTGAAGCTCTAAAATGCGTTGATTTCTACTTACTGTGGGGCATCGTATTCTTGGACATCATATCTGTTGTGCTGCTTACATCGACCTACAAGGCAGGTTGTTCTGCTCTAGCTATTAACAAATTAGTGTGGTTCGACATGGTTTAAAAGGTTATTTAATGCCTTTGTTACTCACATTTCAGATTTATGGGTTTAAATGCAACTTTGATGACCAATTTCTGTCAGCTATTGCGACCACCAGTGCAGCTTTCAACTGTTTGGGTCGTGTTTTTTGGGGATTCATAGTGGATCGCTTTTCTTCTAAGGTAAGAAGCATAATTTTTAATCATTAACTCCATAATAGCCAAAAGATGTGCTCTTCCTTTTATTAAAGTTCTAACACAAAAGACGTGCTCATTGCTGATAGAAAAAAGTGTCGAGCTTTGGTTAAAATGCGGTGCAGCCTAAATTCAGTCATATAAATTAATCCTGCATTGTTGTTTGTGCCGTTAAAAATTTCAAGCGTGTATTTACCAACAAATTTTCCTTTACCACTTTACTTAAACTTATTTGTCAATTTTGTGCTACTAGTCTAAATGTCACACAAATTTAAAATCAACCAGTAGAATCCAGAAAAAATAAATTTATGTAGGCTCCACATTAAGTACAAAATGCTTTAGAAATATTGCAACTTAAGATTTTAATCTATTTTCATCAAAACTGAGAACAAGCGAATGAAATTCCAGCCTTAAAGTGACTAATAAACATGCTCCTCCGCCAAGTCAAATGGAATCACTATCCACTTCCCAACGGACATTCAGGAATTCAGTAACTCCAATCATTCCATATCCAGCAAATGCAATTTCAGCGAATTCCATATCCTCGTCATCTAGTGCGACAGCACAGTACAGCTGGAGCAAAAATGCAGAGCAAGGCAATGGTTTCCGCTTCTTTCCACTCACTCACTCACTCACTCACACACTCACCCACTCACTCACTCACTCACATGCACCACATTGTGCTCTATCGAGTGTATAGATGAGGACGATGAAGTAAAAGGTGGAGGCTAGTCTTGCG